CGACCTTTTCGCGCACCTGCATCTTCTTTCTTCTGACTCTTTATCTTCTCTGATCTTCTCTCTTCTGCTCTTCTCTCTTCTACTTTTCTCTTCGACTCTTCCCATCTCTGCTCTTCCTCTGTCCATATTGTCGGAAGTTTGACTTCTAGAAATCACGTCCCAACCTCATTGACTCCCATGTTTGATGGCACCACCCCAATGCTAAATCATTAACTCATCTAAATCATCCTATATATGGTGATGCCGTTTGAGCTTGCAAAGAACTGTCCAAATACCTTCCCAATGTGGAGCACCCTGCGCTAAAGCAACGCTGGATGGAAATAAACAAATACCGTCACGTTTGCACAGACAACATCTGTGAAAAAAATAATTATATAAACTAGCATTAGGTTGTTCACTGTTCCCCGATGATTTTCTTCAGACGTCCCAGCTTTTTTGAAGCTTTCAGTGACAAATCCAGCAGATGGGACTGTCACTGGTCCAAGAAACTGAGGGACTTGTCGGCAAGGATGTCCATCAGCGTTGCCTGAGCCATTGCGACTACAGGGAACTGGTGTCTCCTGAAGCCTAGAAAAGGCAAATAACATGGACATAATGATATAATATAACAATAAATAATATATACTGTGTATATATATGTATACAAATGCATGTGTATATATATATATAATTGTTACATATACATAAATTTACAGTTATACGTACATATAAATAAATATATAAATAAATATTATATAAATTATATGTATATGTATATATGTATGTGTGTGTGCTTCATACATCTTGGATAACCAGAGATTGGTTCGACCCAATGAACGCCATCAATATAAAGGATGTAGCTCCCCGGCTTGCCAAGATTTTAAATAAATGATTCCATCATACGCCCTTCAAAACCACGAGTATGTTTATATCATCCTCGGAAAAACTGGTCTCAAAGACATGACTTTGTTGCTGGACATGTTTATCTTGAGGCTCCAGAAGTGACAACAACTTTAGGGGGCTGGTTAATCTCGCACGCCGCGTTCCATGGATTCCATGGCGCGAAGAAACCACTGGCTCCGCCCCAGCAATGCAACAGAGAGTCGATTAGGATCGCCATCAACTGACTCAGAATGTTTTGGTAATTGGATTTTCCTGGGCAAGAAAGGGCGGATGGAACACCATCAGGTCACTGTTCCATTCCTGCATTTGACCCTCTGGACGCACCCGCAATCAACAATCTTGTCGGTGCCAGAGACCAATGCTAAAGAGACCCTGATTTTGCAAACACCCCCGAATGAGTCGAAAAACCAAACGCTGAATTTGCAAAGATAGGCTCGGAGGCAGGAACTATAAGTTTGATGGATAGATGGTGGATTGGATTGGACTGGACTGGGTTGGATTGGATTGGACTGGATTGGATTATGAGATAGAAAGAAAGATCAATCAATAGATAGATCGATAGATAGATCGATAGATAGACAAATCGACAGACAGACAGACAGACAGACAAACAGACAGACAGACAGACAGACAGATAGACAGATAGATAGAAAGTAGATGGATAGACAGACCAATCGAGACAAGATAGGATAAAACAAAATGGGCTAGGAACGGACAAGATAAGACAAGATAGGACAGGATAAGAAAAGCCAAACATTTCAAACAATAATAGATAGATATACGCCATGCATGTGGGTAGTTTTCTGGCAATACTGTGGTAAACCCATTTGCAACCCCTTACTGCCAAAGCTATATGAGACCCCCAAAGGATGAAACTTGGCGTGCTACTTGTACAGTAAATAAAGTACATGTTTTATTTTGGGGTGGTTCTTGCTGGGTATACCTTCTGGTAAGCAACCTGGCAATGACAATTTTCCCTGTTGATGAATGATCTGTGAATTGAAAGCCGGGATGTTCCCATCAGCTATAGAGCCATGTTTGAGAACGCTGATGGGTATGACTCGGTATGACAATCGAAATTTTATCCTTGCAAGATCTCTTCCCGATCCACGTTTTTTGGCCCCGGGCCGCCTAAAGCCATGATATCGTCGATGGGTCTCAGGGCCGAAGTTGCGAAGAAACATGAGAACATGAGGCCAACCTCGTCAACCGGATGCGCAGGATGCGCAGTAGAAGGGCATCTACCCAGGGCTTCAAATGGTTCCCCCGGGAAAGAAATCAATCTCATCCCCGGATCACATGAAAAGCATATCCCAGGACACTACTAAACCAGCAGGATATATTTTCTACCAGTAGTACTGCGCAAGAAGGTGGCGGAAGTTTCAAAGATAGGAAACCTATAGTAGGAGAGGTGAGCTGTTGTGATCCATGGACGGCAGAGCGAACCCGCTGATGGACCGAAAGGTGAGTGAGGCTCTCAGCCTCTCTCTCTGCCTGTCTCTCTCTCTCTCTCGCTCTCTCTCTGTCTCCTTCTCTCTGTGTTTCTATATATCTCTATATCTCTATATCTGTATATCTCTATATATATATATATATCTCTCTCTCTCTCTCCCTCCCTCTCTCTTTCATTCTCTCCCCCTCTCTCTCTCTCTCTTTCCATCTCTCTATCTCGATCTATCTCTATCTATATCTCTCTATCTCTCTCTCTCTCTCTCTCTCTTTTTCTCTCTATCTGCTTCTCTCTCTCGCTCTCTCTATCTATCTCTGTCTCCCTCTCCCTCTCTCTATTTGTCTATCTATCTCTCTATCTATCTGTCTGTCTGTCTGTCTGTCTGTCTGTCTGTCTCTGTCTGTCTGTCTGTCTGTCTGTCTGTCTGTCTGTCTGTCTGTCTGTCTGTCTGTTTGTCTCTCTGCCTGTCTATCTATCTATCTACCGACCTATTTCTCTATCGCTTTCTATCTCTACATCTCTATTTCCGTCTCCATCTCGACCTTTATCTGTATCTCTGTCTCTATCGATATATTTATTTATCTATCATTATCAATCTTTCTTTCTGAAAGCAAGCAATTATGCGAGGCTTTTTTCAAAAGTGGAACTTGACAGGCCTAAAATAAACGAAGCCGATCTGCGAGACTTCCACCTTAAAAATTGGAAGTCTTTTTGTTTGCCATCGCATGCTCGAAGTTTGCGCAATTGTTTTTTGCATAGAATCGCGGGGGGTCAGCAAAATACACTGAATACATAAAGCTCACAAAGCCATTGTTGTTTCATGCCAGTACCAAACATGGAATGCACATGCTGCATTTCAAGTTGAGACATGGGATGTTGAGCTGGGAATGCTTGGGGGTGTTCCCAATGACAGCGCGACCCATCCAAGTAGCAACAATACTACTGCAACACCACTAGCAGGCCACTGGATTTTGTTGGAAACGGCGGGGATCGATGGGGATGGTGATGAGGCATTGAGTCAGTTACAGGGTACATGACAATGAACAACATACATACATACATACATACATACATACATGCATACATACATACATACATACATGCATACATGCATACATGCATACATGCATACATGCATACATGCATACATGCATACATACATACATACATTCATACATACATACATGCATGCATACATACATGCATACATACATACATATATATATATATATATATGTGGGTGTGTGCTTTTTTACACATAATAATATATATATATATATCATAATAATAACAATAATTTATATGTTGTTCTTTGTCCAAACATTTGGCAGCGACGGATCTTGTCTCTTGGTGATTTAGACTCTCGTTTTGGCATTGTAGAGGGGTCCCGATCATTGAGCATTCTTCGCATCTCTTCGGTTTCAAAGAGGCGTCCAACATGTTTTTCTATGCTCAGTGAGCACCGCTGGACCTCAACGGCCAGATAGAATGCCAAAAGATATGCCAGATAGAACGCCAGATAGCATGTCAGATAGAATGCCAGAAGATATGCCAGATAAAATGCCAGAAGATATGCCAGATAGAATGCCAGAAGGTATGCCAGATAGAATGCCAGAAGGTATGCCAGATAAAGTGCCAGAATGTTTGCCAGAACATATGCCAGAAGATTTGCCAGACAGAATGTCAGAAGATATGCCAGAAGATATGCCAGATAGAGTGCCAGAAGATATGCCAGAACATATTGCAGAAGATATGCCAGGTAGAATGCCAGAAGATTTGCCAGATAGAATGCCAGAAGATATGCCATATAAAATGCCAGAAGATATGTCAGATAGAATGCCAGAAGATTTGCCAGTAACAAAACGTATAGATGTCATGGTGGGGAAAACTCGAAGTAAAGTATTTTTTTCTATGTGAAAATGTATGCGCATATGTAACCTTGAGTTCAGTCTGCTTGCCAAAATTCATAATTATCACTGAAAACTGCCTGAACTGAAACAGTGGTGCATCACACCAGATGAATCCTGGAGTCTGCCAAGGAACGTAAAAAAAGGATGGAGACCCAAAGTAGACATACAAAGCCAGAAATTCGAGGGCGAAGTAAATCACCAAGAAGAGAACGGAGGAGCCATACCAGCCAAAGTACCTCAAACCATGATACAATTCAATTGCATGACTACAATTGTGGGATGCTAAAGGTCACCAGGAATTAGCCCAAGCACCAGTACTCTGGGGGGCACCAGAAAAACATGATAAACATGGAAACACATGCAAGCAAACAAAAAAGTGCCAATGTGTCAAACTAAGCACCGCTTAAAAGAAACGGACGCGCCACTGACGAAGTTTCAATAAGATCCCAGGTCACCATGACACCGGCCGTTCAAAACATGTCAGCCGGATCCAATATCAATGGACCTTTTTTTTTGATTTGTTTTTCACTGAAAATCACCAGAAACATCGGAAATCCTGGATTTGGCCATGGTTTTCCCATGGGCAAACCCCATGGGCAAACCCCATGGGCAAACCCCATGGTTTCTGCAGCCAGGGATCCCCACCAGGGAGCCACAGGTGCCAATCGTCATGGTGCCAAGCATGGAGCCAAAAGCCACGCCCATGAAACGATCCATATTCCTAGGAGACTGTTGGTTTATCATGGCAACTATGGTAAAACTATGGTAAATATTCACTATGGCAAATCTCAAAATATCATGTTGAAACAGCTCCAATTCCACTATTGCAGCTATTGGTAAACATGAACTCTTCATGTTTTCTTCGAGCAACTTAGCCATCTGGGGCAATATGACTATAGTTCATGGGGTTTTTAAAGCAACACACATCACTGGGGGCCCCACATTGTACTGGAATAATGTAAGTAAAGCAATAATAAAACACCCATATGGGCTGATGATTTACACCACCCATGAAAATGGTGGTGTCATACTCTACTCTACTCTTAAAAGTGAGTACTTAATATGCTTATGACAGTGAGATGTAAATTTGGAACATAGATGCCGCGCTACTTCTCAGGTAGCACAGTTATTGAAACCCAGGAAAGGGATTCCCAGAGTCCATTTACATCTGACTCTGTTGCATGAATGTTCCTTGAGGTTGGACCAGGGCGGACCAGGGCATCCCCTTGAAGCCACAGGATACCCTGAGGTAGACATAGAGAAAAATGCGGATTTCAAAGCCATGGTTTCACGTTCAGAAAATAATCTACCCCTCCTGGCATTTCAACATAGCTATGGAACATGGCCCACTTCAAGATGATTTACAACATAGCTATGGAACATGGCCCACTTCAAGATGATTTACCTATTGAAAATGGTGGTGTGCAATAGATAGTTGCCCTGGTATATTCTCTGAAGAAACAATTCCATGCTATTTCTGCCACACGATTCGCCCGGAACAAGGGGGAAGCTCCAGGAACCTCAAGCAAATGTCGTCGGATAGTAAACTTGATCTGATTGGTGGCATCAGTCCAAAAAAAAATCAAAAGCCAGCATGTCCCAGGACATTGTTTGGACATCAAACATGTCAAAGCATAAGACACACATAGACACACATAGACACACATACATGAATATATATATATATATATATATGGATACATACGAAAAATCAAACCACCATCCAAAATCAACCATTATCCTTTTCAGGTCCGCTATATTTAAGAAAGACATAATAACATACCATCCTTTATCAGCCATGGCTGCTGAGGCTCTTCTTGAGGGCGGCGGCTTGGTCTCCACCCTGGGGTATCATTGCACAAATATAGGTGTGTGTGTGTGTGTAAATGTCTATGCATACATATAAATATAGTTCTATCAAAAAGAAACAAATAACAATTAGACTATTCAGGTCATATGTCATATGACATATAATATTGTTGAATCACAGGAGGCTTGAAATGTGAAACAACTGCACTTTTAATTCGAATGTAAACATAGGCACCCTCACAGTTGGTTTGGGAGCCGCCCCGCCGGGTCACCACTGGGCTGATCCGCCCCAAGGCCTGAAAGATCAAATATGCCACAGTCCCTGCAGGAGTGGCGTTGAAGGCGGGCACAAACTTCGTCTGTGATCCGATTCCCAGCCTGCGGCACGGCAAAGACCTGGAAGATGGTGAAGTTGTGACGGCCACTTGGGAAAACAGTATGCCACGGATTGCTTACCATAAAGCTGGGTGATCTTTGGAAATCTTCAATGCCAAACGCAACCAATATCCCTGGTATATCCCCGGTTTTCCTGCTGGTAGGCTAGCCTACCATAGCCTACCTGCCAGGACGCAGCCTTAGCACCCCTTTTCAGGTCACGGTTGTATGGGTGTCCTGCCGAGGATGAAGCACAGGGTGAAGGTCGCCATGAGTTTTAAAATGTTCAGATTGGCATCCTTGGTCGCCAATGGCGTGGGCTCAGAATGCGTTGGGACTCTTGGCCATTTATTCGCGAATGTTATGTCCGGGAATTGGGGGGAAAAATCCAGGATCTTTCAAACAAAGTCATATAATTGGTTCCATTACTTCTTGAGGGGGATAAAAGGCACCTTGTGACGAAGGATCATTGGCAGAACAAAAAAGACCGCACGAAGAAATGCATAGTGAAAGTAGGCAGTAAAAAGAATCGGGACAGCCCTGGAAGCAAATCCTGCATCAAAACTCTTAGCCAAATTTTCCAATACCTTCGGCTGAACCTGCACCTTTGAGAAATAGAAACAAAAAGATCCAGGAAAAGTAATCCCCTGACCGCACAATTTCCACAATTGCAGAAGTTTCTGGCAGTTTCTATCTAAAGCGCCTTCCCAGAAGAGCTACCTCTGGCCCCCATTCCTTGTTGGCCCCAGGGACCCAACTAACGAGGTCTTTCCCTGGCAATGCGATCACACCCTGCAGAAAGCCCCTGCAGGGTCCCACTGCACGGTCTGAAGGGTCAAACCTCAAAGATTGCTCAGCATCAGCATGCGCAGGGGATTGTTTTGTTATGTTTTGTTGCTAGGTTGGTCCCCCTAGCCCAGAACTGGGATTGATCATCGCAAACTGGAACCCAGCAGTGTTTGCACAAGTGACCCCAAGGTGCAAACCCTTCAAACTTCAAACCCTCAGGCTTGCCACACCCAATGGGTTTTCAGCTGTTTCCATGAACCCATCAGACATGTTCTCTGGACCCGCTGTCAAGCCACTCTGCCATGGACTCCAGGAGGTCGGCCACCTTTTGGGTGTAGCCACTGGCACTGGACGCCAAGGCGAACTGTGGGAGGTGAGATGAAGTGAAGAAGCGCTGCCAGGAGCCATCTTGCCTAGTGATTTGCGTGTGTATACAGTAATGTTGAGTCCTGATTAGTACCTAGGGTCGCTATTGTGGCAAAATTTTTCCAAATTATTCTGAAACTCATGTATTGTTTGGAGGGTTCGCTTTTGTGGCAAAACAAAATTGGGAGAGCCCTTTTTTTTGCAAAAAAAACTGTAATTGCTGAGAGGCATTTTTTCTCAAAAACGCTGTAGCTCAGTCAATTTTTTGCTCATCTCCCTATCTGAGCCTGTAAATGCATCTCTATCTGAGTAGGTTTGTTTGCTGGGTTCACTATTGCAGCAAGCTGTGCCAGAGCAGCCCCTGGAAGCCCAGAAGGGAAGCAAGCCATTTCCAAAATTGCCAAATTCAAACTCCAAGCCTTTCCCAAAGGAGCCAATCCCTTATTAAACCCTTATTAAAGAACAGCTTTTCCATAATTTTCCAAGGCCCTGGACCAGGAGAGGCCCAATTTCACTTTAGTAGGTTTGTTTGCTGGGTTCACTATTGCAGCAAGCTGTGCCAGAGCACCCCCTGGAAGCCCAGAAGGGAAGCAAGCCATTTCCAAAATTGCCAAATTCAAACTGCAAGCCTTTCCCAAAAGAACCAATCCCTTATTAAACCCTTATTAAAGAACAGCTTTCCCACAATTTTCCAAGGCCCTGGCCCAGTAGAGGCCCCATTTCACTTTAGTAGGTTTGTTTGCTGGGTTCACTATTGCAGCAAGCTGTGCCAGAGCAGCCCCTGAAGAAGGGAAGCAAGCCATTTCCAAAATTGCCAAATTCATCGGCAATACCACAACTTCATCGGCAAACAAAAAACAATAGTAATTAGATTTCAACTGTAGCCAATTGAAATCCTTACTTAATTGAGGATATGTTTTTCTTTTGGGAAGAAAATTTTTGACTTTCTACTTTAAAGAGAGTCCAGAAATAGTTTGGGGGGGGCCACACACTAATCAGGACGCAACATTATACCTTGTGTATGTGTAAATGTATGCTATACACACACACATATATATATATATTGTGTGTGTGCATGTATATGTGTATAATACTATGATGAATCTATATATTATATATATGTATCCCTCGATCCATCAAACAATCAGCATCAATCTATCTGGCAAAATATGTTCATATCTAGAATTAGCTACATCTGATGATGTAATGAACATCCGTAGCATTCCGCACCATTCCGCAGCAACTCTGAATGACCATTCCGTAGCAGCTCTGACCGATCTTCCCCAACATGCTGCTGCTTCTGTGGCTGACTGAGCCAAGTTGCTTCAGCCGGGTCTTGAAAACCTCGTGTAGTTTCACTTGTCCATCCTGCGGATTTTGCAGCGGATCATGAAGGGATGATCATACTCGATTCTATAGCAATGGCTTCGCGGTTCGCCCCACACAAACCAGTATCTCGTATCCATATGTATTCATATTCATTCAAACGCAACCCGTACGAGTACCTCACCCGTTTTCCTATCCTTTTCTGGTATATTCCTCCGAGGCTACCGGGCGAGAAGTTCCGGGCTGCGTGACAATGCGTTATAACCAGCCACACGAGCCACGTTTCGCCGCTCCTCCAATTCACTGAGGCAAAACTCCAAGCGCTCTTCGGTCTCTGAGTTCAGGTCCCCTTGCGCGGCCGCGGAGGCACTTCGCCTTGAAGGCTTCGCTCGTGGTTTTACTGGACTGGCTGAACTGGTTCCTGGCAACCCTGAAAAATATATGAATCAATTGGGATCATCTCAAAACTGGGACAGGTGAAGCTGGGGGATGTGCCCCCAATGGAGACACGTATCAAAAAAAAATATATATATATATATGCATCAAAAAAACATATCCAGCACGCATAAAAAACAATAAAAAAATATCCAGGTGCCACTGTGTGAGACCTCATGCGTTTCGTGCTGCAAACCTAGATCAAAAAAAAATGTCCGCATCAAAAGAAAAAAACGTCGTAGTAGTAGTAGTAGTAGTAGAAGTAGTAGAAGTAGCAGAAGTAGCAGAAGTAGTGGTAGTGGTAGTGGTAGTGGTAGTGGTAGTGGTGGTAGTGGTAGTGGTAGTGGTAGTGGTCGTGGTCGTGGTAGTGGTAGTAGTGGTGGTAGTGGTCGTGGTCGTGGTAGTGGTAGTAGTGGTAGTAGTGGTAGTAGTGGTAGTAGTGGTAGTAGTGGTAGTAGTGGTAGTAGTGGTAGTAGTAGTAGTAGTAGCAGTAGCAGTAGCAGTAGCAGTAGGAGTAGTAGTCGTAGTGGTAGTGGTAGTAGTGGTAGTGGTAGTGGTGGTAGTGGTAGTGGTGGTAGTGGTAGTGGTAGTGGTAGTGGTAGTGGTAGTAGTAGTAGTAGTATTAGTAGTAGTAGTAGTAGCAGTAGTAGTAGGAGTAGTAGTAGTAGTAGTAATAGTATGTAATAGTATGTAATAGTATGTAATAGTATGTAATAGTATGTAATAGTATGTAATAGTATGTAATAGTATGTAATAGTATGTAATAGTAGTAGTAGTAGTAGTAGTAGTAGTAGTAGTAGTAGTAGTAGTAGTAGTAGTAGTAGTAGTTGCTGTTCTATTCTAGTCGTAGTCGTAGCAGTAGTAGCAGTAGTAGTAGTAGTAGCAGTAGCAGTAGCAGCAAGAATGAAGATATTGATTATATTTAAAAAAACACAAATAAACAATGCTTGTGAAAAAAAAAGAAATGGAGTAGGTAGCAAGGGAAGCCGATTAAAAAGTAAAAGCGCATGGGGGGGTGCAGGGGGGAGGGCGCAGCGCCTCCAACCGCAATGCGTACCAAGAAAGAAGCACATAGGCACAAGTGGCGATGGATATTAATAAAGATTAAGAAAGATTCAGAAGGAGAAGATGAACCCAAAGAAACGATGCTTTTGAAAAAAAAGGAAAGAGAGTAGGTAGCAAGGGAAGCCGATTGAAAAATAAAAGCGGGTGGGGGGGTGCAGGGGGGAGAACAAGGGCACAGCGTGTCAGCACCTGGCCCATCCTGGCCCTGTCAACTCTCAGGCACTGCAGCGACCCTTTGGTGCTGTAGATCAGCTGCAAGAGTTCCTGAAAGGCAGCGATTTGTATGAAATGTGATGGTTGGACATTATGTTCCCCATCATTTTTAATGGAACATAAGACTTGAACATATCAGGAAATCAGGGGATGTATATCAACTAGCACAACCTCGCATTTGCTACAATTACAAGAAATCTCAAGAAATCAGGGGGTATCATGGGGATATCCCTTTCAAACACAAACTGGCAAAGGAAAGGGGACTGAACTGAATCAACAAAGGTCAAGGCCCCCAAGAGGCACAACATAGTTTACCTCTGGGAGTGTAACGGTTGAACCAAGAAAAATGAAGTTTCATGCCGCTATTAGGGTTTGCCCAACGTTTTGGCAGCTGCATCTGGTGGCAACCCCAGACTTTCCAGCCCTTCAAAAGCAACACATATAACAAACGATAGACGGATAGACAATGATACAAGATGATACAAGTATGTAATATTGAGAATGATGGTGCGCAACGACCTTTATTCCGGGTGTGATTCCCGCTCTTCCAAAGCCACCCCAGCCCACCTTTTGTGCGCCATCCATGATGTGTGCCAGCTCTGGGTCCTCAAAGCCACTGATTCGTACAGGAATGATCATCCAAGTGCTGCCTATGTTGGGATGGTAAAAAAACATACATCCAAATGCAGGGACCCTTGATCTTCATGCCATCCCCCCTGCCCACCCCCCCTGAGGTCGGGATCCTTGCTGCCTTTCGCATGCTGCACAGCCATGACCATAGCTTCCACCCAGTCGTTCAAGAAATCTACGCTGCGGCACATCTCCAGCAGCATCAAGCGACTCTGCCCTGCAGCGCCCAAGTCGAAGCATTCCTGAGATGTCCACATCCTCACCATATCTTCACCCTGCAACTTAAAAGAAAGTAGAACATGATGCCATGTCAGCCATAGCACTACAAATGGTATACTATAGCGGACTAGCACTTAGAATATATTTCAAAAAAACATATATATATATATAATATGGATTTATGTTGATTTTTAACATACTTGAGCCCGGGGTGGTTAGCACTTAGAATATTAAAATCCAGGGGGGTAATAGAATATTTTGGTAGTATGCTGTCTCAAGGAAAAACATGGAAAAACTAGCTACATCCGACCATATATCCCAATAATTCCCAATAAATATCATTACCTCGAAGCCTCCTCTCGCTCGCTCTCTCTCTCTCTCTCTCTATCCCCGTTCCTGTTTTTTTTTGGTTTCCCCATCAATCTATGGTACTGTACTGTGCTACCGCACGAGTACCTCAATGTATGGGTTCGCAAATCTCAATGGAAAACGAACAAAACCCAATACATCAACACAACAAGAACACGGTTTACAATAACAAACTCAACAGTAAACTTGTTGGTTCGGTACCTTCTTTGATGGACTATCGGTGACAATGTGGTTGTGACCATATTCTAGGTACATTCACTGCTCACACATGCACAGTTTTACCCAGGCAAGAACAACAAAGGCCAACCGGTTGGTACTCTGCCATGCGTGTTTTAAAGTACCAAATGCAACAATTGCAAGTCTATGTGATGTACTGAGATTGTTTTGCAATCATAAAGTCAGCAGTTGCAAACTTTTTGGCACTTTACCTTACTTTTTTTGCAGTAACGAACTCAACTGTAATAGGTTTCTATTCTATTCTTTGCCTTGCTTGAGGGAAAAGTGACTATGTAGTTGTGGCCATATTCTAAGTGCGTTTACTGCGCATAAGCGCACAGTTATACAAGCAAAAGCAGCAAGTGCAAAATCGGTTGGTGCTGTACCATGCGTGTTTTGCTGCAGAACCAAAAACAACTGTAAACCATGAGGTACCGTACTGAGATTGATCGGCGACGATGAAGTCAGCAGCTGCATTTTTTTAATGTGTTTTTGGTATTGTAGCGCGGCTTGTTTAACTCAACTGTAATAGGTTTCTATTCTTTGCCTTGCTTGAGGTAAAAGTGACTATGTAGCTGTGGCCATATTCTAAGTGCATTTACTGCCCATAAGCGCACAGTTACACAAGCAAAAGCAGCAAGCGCAAAACCAGTTGGTGCTGTACCATGCGTGTTTTGCTGCAGTACCAAAAACAACTGTAAACCATGAGGTGCCGTACTGAGACTGATCGGCGATCATGAACTCAACAGTTGCATTTTGTTTATGTTTTGTTGGTATTGTACGCGGCCTGTCTTGCAGTAACAAACTCAACTATAGATAAACTGGTCAGTTCTGTATCTTGCTGGATGGACAAAGTGACTCTGGCAGTTGTGTGCATATTCTAAGTGCATTTGCTGCACAGAAACGCACACTTTTACACGAAAACAACTGCCAAACGGTTGGTACTCTACCGTGCGTGTTTTGCACTACCAGATGCAAGAACTGTAAACCATGCGGTGCTCTGCTGAAATTGTTGTGCAAACATGAACTCAACTGTTTCATGTTTTGGTACTGTACAGTGCTTGTTTTGCAACAAAGAACTCAACTATAAACTGTCCGGTTCTGTATCTTATTTGATGGAATACGCGACTCTGGCAGTTGTGGCCATATTCTAACTGCATTCGCTGTCCAGAAATGCACAGTTTTACACAAGCAAACCATGCCTGTGTTGCAGCACCAAATGCAACAACAGTAAACCATGTGGTGATGTACTGAGATTGTTTGCGATCATGACTCAACATTTGCAAACTTTGTAGTACTGTATCTTGCTTGTTTTGCAGTAACTAATTCAACTGTAAACTGTTCGGTTATGTACCTGTCTTGATGGACTATCAGTGACAATGTGGTTGTGACCATATTCTCAGTGCATTCATTGCCCATAAATGCACAGTTTTACACCAACAAAAAAAACAACAACTGCCAACCAGCTGTTACTGTCCCATGAGTGTGTTTCGCAGAACGAATTGCAACAACTGCAAGCCTATGTGGTGATGTACTGAGATTGTTTTGAGACAGCTGCATGTTTGTTCAATTTACCTTTGTTTTGCAGGAATTAACGAACCCAACTGTATGTTTCTGTTCTTTGCCTTGATTGATTTTCAATCTGACTAGGTTAGTTGTGATCATATTCTAAGTGCATTTGCTGCCCATAAATTAAATGCACAATTATACAGGCAAACGGCAAACGCAACAACTGCAAACGGGTTGGTAATGTACCATGCGGCGACCATACGTGTTTTGCAGTGCCAAATGCAAAAAATGTGAACCATGTGGTGTTGTACTGAGGTAGTTTTGCAATTATTAACTCAGCAGTTGCAATTTGTTGGGAACTGTACCTTGCTTGCTTTGCAATAACAAACTCAACTGTAAACTGTTTGGTTATGCACCTTCCTTGATGGACCAAGCGACTCTGGCAACTCTGACAATATTCTAAGTGCATTCACTGCCCAAAAATGCACAGCTTTACACAAGCAAAAACACAACTGCCAACCAGCTGGTACCGTACCATGAGCGTGTTTTGCAGAACGAAATGCAGCAACTGCAAGCCTACGTGGTACTGTACTGAAATTGTTTTGCAATCATGAACTCAGCAGTTGCAAACTTTTTGGCACTGTACCTTGATTGTTTCGTGCACTCACTACGCATACATGGACAGGTTTACACAAGCAAAAACAACAACTGCCAACCAGCTGGTACTGTACCATGCGTGTTTTGCAGTACCAGGTGCAAGAACTGTAAAGCATATGGTGCTCGGATGAAATTGTGTTGCAATTATGAACTCAACAGCTGCAAACTGTTTGACTCTGTACCTTGCTTGCTTCGCAGTAAGGAACTCAACTGCAAACTGTTCGGTTATGTGCCTTCCTTGACCATATTCCAAGTGCATTCACTGCCTATAAATGCACCATTTTTACACAAACAAAAACAACAACTGCTAACCAGCTGGTACTGTACCATGAGTGTGTTTCGCAGAACAAATTGCAACAACTGCAAGCCGATGTGGTGATGTACTTGATTGTTTTGAGACAGCTGCATGTGTTTTGCCATTTATCTTTGTTTTGCAGGAATTAACGAACCCAACTGTATGTTTCTGTTCTTTGTCTTGATTGATTTTCAATCTGACTATGTTAGTTGTGATCATATTCTAAGTGCATTTGCTGCCCATAAATTAAATGCACAGTTATACAGGCAAACGGCAAACGCAACAACTGCAAACGGGTTGGTAATGTACCATGCGGCGACCATACGTGTTTTGCAGTGCCAAATGCAAAAGATGTGAACCATGTGGTGTTGTACTGAGGTACTCTTGGGAGGCGTGCTGATAAATAACCTGGTAGTTTTGGGCGGTTTTTGGGATTTTAGTCGTGGGTGGGGTGGGGGGGTGGGGTGGGATGATAACGTCGTGTTACGTTGACGTCATGTCCTGGTGCTACCAACTTGGCTAGGTCATGCTACGTCTTGGGTGGGGTGGGGTGGGGTGGGGTGGGATGATAACGTCGTGTTACGTTGACGTCATGTCCTGGTGCTACCAACTTGGCTAGGTCATGCTACGTCTTGGGTGGGGTGGGGTGGGGTGGGGTGGGATGATAACGTTGTGGATGCTCATTCCGCACAAGTTGCTACAGCTCTTGACGAGTTGCTTTCCTTTGGTTTTATCCGTGGATTTGAAAAAGGTTGCTTTGCTTGTGGTGCGGCTCTTGGTGAAGCAGAACCTTTCAAAGCATCAGGGAAATTGTATTTCAGGTGCACTTCTTGGAAACGCCAAAAAAGACACAATGTCACTGACTTTTCGTTGTTTCGCGGCACACGCTTGAGCCTCTTTGACTTGTGTAGAGTGATTACCTTTTACAGCAGATCACGCTTGATGGAAGCTCCCCGTGTAGCAGATGCCCAATCTCAGCTGAAGCTCGCCAGATGTGCAGTGGAGCACATATATGAAGCTTTGCAAGCTGCGGAAGCAAGGGCGGGAGAACAACTCTGTCGGACACAAAATGCAACAAGACGCATGGTGGGAGACATCGAAGCAGACGCGCATGGTCTTCGCAAACTGTACGTCGGCCAAAACAACCCTCACTTTCAAAAAGAAGTTGCTGCTGCTGCTACCCGCTTCCAAAAAGCAAAGCCGTTCAAGCCGGTGCCCAAGTATTGGCAAGCACATTTCCGAGTACTTGGTTTGAAAGCCAGAAGTTACATGGGGCCGGTTGCAAAACGAGGTGGCAACATTGTTTTGAAGGTTTTACCATTCAAGCTAGTGCCTCCAGGTGCAAGTCCACCTGTGGAATCCAAGTCTGAAATTGTTCAATCCAAGATCATGACCTTTTTAGGCGATTCCAAAAAAATCCGTCTCTATAGTGATGGAGCCAAAGCGTGGGAGAGCCTGTGCAAAGAGAAAAGGATCAAACATTTTCCAGTTACGCATCGAAAACAACAGTTCACTCGAAAGTTGAAAACTTGGAAGAAACCTGGAGCCACCATTGCTGGAACTCAAGCAGTGGACAGATGGTGGCAATCGCTTGACCGTTTCATTCCTTCCTCTTTGAACAACAAAGACTGGTCCAAAGGTGGTTTGAATCAAAAATTGATTTTGTATATGCATGCCTTTGTTTGGCGATACCACTTACCAGTCACTGCAGACTTGAAGTCTCACCTCGGAAAATTGAAATGAGTGAAAACGAAACGCGCCGCGACGGCTGAATTTACCCCAATAACACAAACTCCTGTATTTTACAGGACGAAATGCTGTCGAAGACACAAATGAGACCAGGTTAAATACCCGCGCATGACCTAGTTTTGCAATTATTAACTCAGCAGTTGCAATTTGTTGGGAACTGTACCCTGCTTGCTTTGCAATAACAAATTCAACTGTAAACTGTTTGGTTATGCACCTTCCTTGATGGACCAAGCGACTCTGGCAACTCTGACAATATTCTAAGTGCATTCACTGCCCAAAAATGCGCAACTTTACACAAGCAAAAACACAACTGCCAACCAGCTGGTACTGTACCATGAGCGTGTTTTGCAGAACGAAATGCAGCAACTGCAAGCCTACGTGGTACTGTACTGAAATTGTTTTGCAATCATGAACTCAGCAGTTGCAAACTTTTTGGCACTGTACCTTGATTGTTTTGTGCATTCACTACCCATACATGGACAGGTTTACACAAGCAAAAACAACAACTGCCAACCAGCTGGTACTGTACCATGCGTGTTTTGCAGTACCAGGTGCAAGAACTGTAAAGCATATGGTGCTCGGATGAAATTGTGTTGCAATTATGAACTCCACAGCTGCAAACTGTTTGACTCTGTACCTTGCTTGCTTCGCAGTAAGGAACTCAACTGCAAACTGTTCGGTTATGTGCCTTCCTTGACCATATTCCAAGTGCACTCACTGCCTATAAATGCACAATTTTACACAAACAAAAACAACAACTGCAAACCAGCTGGTGCTGTACCATGAGTGTGTTTCGCAGAACGGATTTCAACAACTGCAAGCCGATGTGGTGATGTACTGAGATTGTTTTGAGACAACTGCATTGTTTTTTGCAATTTACCTTTGTTTTGCAGGAATGAACGCCAACTGTATATTTCTTTTCTTTGCCTTGCTTGATGTACAAAGTGACTAATTATGTACGAACCCAATGTGGTTGTTTTCGACACAAATTCAACAGTTGTGTCCAAAACGATTGTGGGTTTTGAGACGCCTCGAAAACGGTTGAAACACACGATTTTTGTGGTTTTCACTTAATATCATACTATACATGAACATCCAAAATATTGTAAGTGTGTTTTTTTTATTTTTGAATTTTTATGTGTGAATTAAAACGTCTCAACAACATATGAAAACAGATATATCCTGAACTCGCGTTAAACACGGAAGTTGGATTTTCCCATATTCTAAGAGCTAGCCCTCCACTGTACAGTCAACAGTCCGACAATGTGCAACAACCCTCGGTGGAGGATGTTATCCGTGCTGCTGTGGGGCCCACCAGCTGATGCTTAGTAGATTTCGAATCTCCTGCCAGCGGTGTAGTCGCTTGGTGCTGGTCATTTGTCTGGTAAAATACACTAAAATAAAGGTATGCGATGAAAATTGGATGAGTGCTTAAATCCTAACAAATCCATTAGTTGTGGCATGTCAGGATTCCCAAGGATATCTTCGGAAAAAAAACAGAAAGTCACGCCATCAGTTATCACATTTCCCCAAACATACCATTAAAAAAAAAAAACAGATAGAAAAACAATACCCTACTAGATGCAAATTATCATCTTTTTTACCAGTAGTACCGCACAAGGCGGTGGCGGAAGTTTCAAAGATAGGACACTATAGGAGAGGTGAGTTGTTGTGATCCGTGGATGGCAGAGCGATCCACTGATGGACCGAAAAATGGTTGGAGTTGTGTTTTTTGGAATGGTTGCAATGCTTGCAGTGGTCGCCTCACCCACAACTGCTGGATGTAGTGTGGTGTAGTGCAGCCGTAGTTGTGGCTGTAGTGTCGTGCAATTGGGGTGGTGCAGTTGCAGTGTAGCTGCAGTTGCAGTTGCAGTGGCAGTTGTAGTTGTAGTTGTAGTGTAGTGGAGTGTAGTTTAGTGTAGTGTAGTGGTGGTTGTAGTTGAAACTGCTACAAAACCGTCACGTTTTGCTCACTTTTGACAAGGTGCACAACCCCTGGCGCCTGCCACACGAAACTACATCTGAACGTCCAAAAGTGCTTCGTGCCCGTCAGTTTTTTGTACTTTCGACTTTTGACTTCCAAATGTGCTTCACGCCACAACGGCGTGCAATTTTTCATCTCAAATCTGGCCAGATGGCTCCGCACCCCCGGCTTTAGCGAGCCTACTTTCCGACCTTCCGGAGACACAAATCATTGGAAAAACAGAGTGAATCGCGACTTTGCTACCTTTTTGCGCACCTGCATCTTCTTTCTTCTCACTCTTTCTCTTCTCTGATCTTCTCTCTTCTGCTCTTCTCTTCTCTGAATCTTCCCACCTCTGCTTTTCCATCTGTCCATATTGTCGGAAGATGTCGGAAGTTTTACTTCTAAACTTCCTTCGATAAAACTATCTAAAGTATAGATGACTTGCTTTTCTATCTTTTTTGGGGTTGCAACGTTTCAAACTTCAAACCTCTACCCATCTCCAGGTCCACCTCCAGCTGCTGTTGCAGGTTCTGCACCTCCACCGCGAAGACGCTTGCGGCTTGCGGCTGCATGCGGAAACAGCCCAGCTCCATGAGCTGTTCCAGGAGTCTGCCAGGGAAACATCGCGAAACCAAGGGGATGGACATTGGACCATGGAAAATTGGAGGTTTAACATGCTTTAACCAGATGAAAGCAACCAAATAGATCATTTTACCAGCGTTTGGCGTCTGTATAGTGGAGTTACCCAGCAAGCTTATGGGGGGGGGTGTAACAAACCATTTTGTGGGAAAGAATGGGGCACGTGACCAAGACATTGATATTTGGGTGTGTCGGAAATGGAGGATTTATTCCGCTTTCTGGCATTTAACTATAGGGAACATGAGGTGAAAGAAATTGATTCTGGGGTATCATCCTTTCAGACCAACAGGTAAAACATATGGGGAAGTCAGACCGGGTATGGTATGATCCGCAAGTTTTCCCATGGCACGTCGGTAGTCGATTGTGGCACCTGCCATGTGACCAGGCCAGGTCAATCATCAGGTCCTGACAACAGCCACGAAGCGGATCTTGTCACAAGGGTGTTGCGCGTTTTTAAAGGGCAACAAGCGCCATCAGTGTCAACAGACGATCTTGATGTACTCACTAGTGATATGGGTGACATGTGAGACATGGGTGACTCCTATGTATATATGACTCTATGGGTTGCAGCTAGCTTTCGGAGCGATAAAACATAAACCAGTAGGTGACAATGGTGACAGTAGTTTGGCAAAAGCTGGGTGACAAAAGTTTTGAGATAAAAATTGATATGAGATCTTCAAGAACATGTATTCTCAAGGGCTGTCATCCTCCAACCCCCAAGACTCCAGTTTTCAAGCTATGCTGCAATGCAGTGCCTCGAGCCGCGGGACAGGTTTTCTCCCGTGTTGCTGGCGCTCGGTGACCAGAAGCGTCACATGGCCTCACTATGATGTGAGCACCACAAACACCACCGGCACCGGCTTCTCTTGGACACCATAATCATTCCAGGTTCTGCCTCCATCCAACTGATTCCCCCCATAGATCAGCCGCTGTTTCTCCACTTCGAAGCCATGCTTTTCATGAACGGCTTCCTTCACCTTGTCGACGTCCTCATTCTTGTCCACATCGATGGTCATGGCTTTGCCATCCACAAATTTCAAGGTAACTTTCATTGCGTCAGCCATTGCCGAGGCAATCTTTGAACCCAAATGGCTTCGGTCAATGTATTCATTCCTTCGCAACAGCAACAAGGTCAGGAGGAAACATATTTTTAGGGCAAGCAAGCATGGGTTAACAGTTACAGGGGTGGCACACAAAAACAAAAATGAACTGCAAGGAACATGATATACATCGCATTGGGTATGGCTCTGCATCCGGCCACAAATTGACCCACCTAATCTGTCAATTGTCACAGATCTCCAACATTGTACCATACTATGCCGTCTCATTTGGTATTTCGAAAAAAATGAGCCATACATGTGTGAAGAAGCCTATATGTCCTCCAGTAAGCGAACATGTGTAATTAGACGTGGAACAGCCACCATTTTTCGATCATTTTCCAAGCGGCCCTTTAAATGTTTGCCCCAGGACAAATCTCAAGGCCCAGATTGCCAAGGCCAGGTCTGTGCAGTCCTGGGCCTTGTTCAAAGCAGAGATATTCCTAGGCAGAATGGCGACAAAGATGGCGAAGACACATCCTGGCAATGCCACCCAGTAGCAGCAGCGAAAAAGGCTATGCTGTGCAGAATATGTATCGAATAGGATGTTGAAGATTGATTGTGTGAATAGATAGAAAGGGTAGCAATGGAATTAGATATACACATATCATACATACATATATATATATAAAGAGAATTAGACATAGATCGAAACAAAAAATGACACAGCAATAGATAGATAGCGACTAGCTCATACATTGATGGCCATGCAGCCACCAATGATCACCCACTTGACGGAGGTTGATCCTCCGTTGATTTCTGGTCGTAGATATCTAATATGATATATTCATATATGTGAGAAATAAATAATTTAATATTTCATATATATCATATACATATATATTATATACATTGTAACAGAATAATGCGCGCTTGGGAGTGCAGTGACATTTGGAACCAACAGCACATTTGGTGCGTTATCCACCATGTTGGGAGAGAAACCCGTGCTTGTACCCTTCGGTAGTCAAACATTGCAATGGAACGAATCACCATGTTGAATAATTATGTGCAGTTATCATCTACAAATATCTATAAATTGGCAATGTTCATTTTATAGCAGTCCATAGCTACAATATGTTAAATTACCAGAGCATGTATACATTTGGACCATGTTGGGTGATATATATATATATATGCTGATAAATAACTAAACCATCTAAATGCCATCTAGATATGTGCTATATGTTTTCCTCTTCATCTTTATTTTACACCTTAAAAAAAAGTGTGAAAGCATGAGGCATGTTCAGCATACCCCCCATTTTTGCACGCACACACACACACACCCTGAGATTATATGATTGCTTACATATCCCATCATATTTCCAATATACTTGGATTTAACATGTTAGACCCTTCTGTAAATGTTAGTTACGATCATACTTAAATGCCGAGTGATAACTACTAATCATCAACATACCTGATAATCATTTTAATCTTGATAGTGCTAGTATGTAAAATATATTATATTACTATAATATTTGTTGATATTTATCATTAATACTTCATAGTACTTAGTATATATAACTATAGTAACATATAGTAGCCATATTACCATTCTGGTTATTTAACATATAGCCATGGAAAATCACCATGCTATTAATAGGTAAACCATCTTTTTCTATGGGCCATCTATACCATGGCTATGTTAGTCATAACTATTATTATTACTATAGTACTAGTTCTATAATATATTAGATAACTATATATAACTATAGTACTTTATATAACTATAGTACTTTATAATATAACTATAGTAACATATTGTACTAGCCAGTATTAGCCAGTATACAAATATAGTAACCATAGTAGCTCATCTCACCATAAACGCTGGCCACTCCCTTCCGCCCGCCTATGATGGTGCCCATCAGCGCACCCGTCTCCGCCGCCTGGAGCTGAACATCGGCGGCGCCGCGGCTGAAGACCGTGGTATCGAAGGGGTTCAGAAAGCCTCGGCGGATGCGGATGGGACCTGGGATGACCTGGGTAACCCCGGGCTTTGGACGTTGCAAGGTCGAAAAAACGGGACTTTGGTAAGTTGGATATGGAATGATTTATATATATATATATTATATATAATATGATTTATTGAATATATATATATATATATTGTGTATGGAGAGATCTATGGATGATTTGTTGAAAGTAACAAGTATCATCGATGAAATTGATGCTGTATAAGTGGTGCGTTTCAATGGTTTGTTGTCCATTATCCAGGTTGAAGCTGTTTAAACATCTGTTAAAAACACGGTCCGCACCAGGAAGTAGGATTCATGCTTGGGATCCATGCGTTGCCAGCAGTTTGATGACATTATTCATACAATCTGTTTCTACGCATCATCAAGATGCCCGATTGGCCACAAAATACTGTAAATACGATGAGTAAACTCAAAGGTGCACCCCTACACAGGCTACACACCAAAATTCTCGCCACCGATTCCGTTATTTCGTGCTCCTCATCGAACCCATGACCAGCCAGGTTGTAGTCAAAGGGGGACATGTACAAACCAACATTCATCACGCGTGTGCCATGGTCAAAAGATATCAAAAGATGCTATGGCATATGGGCTCTGGTCATCCATCCCACACTGGAAGTCTAGTTTAATCCGTGATGGCCCCCGGCCGTCCGTGCCTCCCTGTCATACCTACCCTGGGATTCAAAATAAAACATCCAAAGCTTGTGAATGATTGCAAAGTGATATATGATATATATATATATAATTATATATATATATATATTTATGTGGGTATGAAATTTTGAATATAATGCAAATAAAATTGTGCATTCTCGAGCATGTGTTTCTATATCACCTTCGGTAATCAAACATGGCAATTGACGATTCCCATCAAAAATGAATCGTTTCCAGGGAAAATATGGGAAGATCAGCTAGACATGGTGTTACAGGGTGGGTTTTCCATTAAAACATATTAAAACACTATTTACACATGATTTACCCATTCAAACACTATCAATGGTGGATTTTCCGGGCCAAGTTTGATTACCAAAGGCCCCAGCCAGGGTATCCATCTGTGGCTCCCAGAACTGATCGAGCGGCACATGGAGAAATAGGCCTGCCACGACCTCAGAGATCAAGACATGGTAATTAGATGTGTAAATCATCTGGAAATTACCATGGTCATTATTATAGAGGCAACACTGGCAACCAATGGTAAATTATATCGCCAACATTTTTGCCAATATAGCCATGAAAAGTCATAAAAGAAAAGGAACACCTGCTTAAAAACATAAAAGCCAACATTCCAAGTTCAATGTACATCTTTCATCACGAGGAAAACTCATCTTTGGGTATCCATTTAAAAATCTCTAGCTAAGAACATCTGGAGCCTTGGCCAACTTTTTGGGCGGAGGGCGTCCCAAAGCTGAACACATGGGCAACATCCTGCTAATGAGTTCATATAGTTGATGATTTTCATAGTAACTTCACATTACACCCTCTTTGGCACCTGCATGTCGTGATTCCAGGTTGCAGTCTTTCGCGCTCCCTTGACCAAATTTTGCCAAGCAGCAAGGCATACATCTTGGCATTGGTGGCGAATCCCAAGGCGAAGGTCAGCAGGACAAAGACGAAGAAATCGACCCATCCAAAGACCATGCTGGACATGTCGCCACGCTTCACCTGCACCGTGGTATCTCGCGGTGGCAGGGCACGGACACATCGACAGAATGGAGTTGTTTTTATCCATGGATACCCATAAAAGGATATTTCGAAGGGTCCTTCCAAGCCCCATCGTAAACATTCACGAATTTAACACACATCAGCCGTTCCTTTTGATTAACCGTGCGGTTAACGTGCGGTCAAGCAACGCCATTGGGATAGAGGAAAAACATCAGCCAGCAGTTCAGCACTGGCAGCAGCGTGCCATAGAAACCCGTCCAGGCTGAGTTCACGGTGCTGCCCAGGTCCAGGTACAAGGTGAAGGCCAAAATCACCACCACCTGGGTCCAGGTACAAGCTGAGCGTGTCGCCATGTTTGACCTGTGATATAGCCATGTTGCAACACCAAAATGTCCAAAATTATTCGCTATATCTATAGCCCATCTATCCATATAGCTACTACAATTCAAAATTTACAACATCCATGATCATCCTATAACCCAGACTGAAGCAGCGTTCCGACAAGTCGCGTAGCCCATTGACCACCCTTGATGGCGCCACCAAGCCCTGGGTCGAAACCAGGAAGTGGATCGCAGTACGGATGGAGAACCATGGCTCAGCTCCAACGCGAGAAGGACACAATTGATGGATGTGTCTAGGAACATCCCAAAATAAGGTATCGCAAGTTGAACATAGAGTAGGCTGGGATGTTCAACCAAAAGTGATAGTATTTTACCTTGACCCATACATCACAAATCATCACCATCATTATCAGCTGCGATCCCGTTGCGAAGCCCCGGGGGGCAATGCCAAGCGACAGAAATTCGAAGCAATACGTTGCAGCGCAAAATAGCGCTACCTGCGCCGTGATGGAGAAATCGCCGGTGGAGAAGCTCAACTCAACTACTGTAACTAGCATCCCACATACCCTCTGGTAATTTAACATAGCTATTGAAAATGACCATTTATAGTGGATTTACCCATTGAAAATGGTGATTTTCAATAGCTACGTTAAATTACCAGAGGGTATCACCACTCAACAACAACCCTGGAAATAGGTCACTTGTGCCGCCAAGCCATGTGTGATGTGACTTTCCAGACTTTCCAAGCCTGAAACTGTGCAGCCATCAACTTGGAGCATGGTCCACCCCAAAAAACACACTTAAAAGAAGCATAGTATCCAGATTGGTATTCACATGTATGCACCATAATGCATCGATTGCTCCATCAAGTCCAAACCATCAGCCGAAGGCAGGTTGGTTGCTTCAAAAGCCCTGAGGTCAACCAGTCAGAGAATGTTAGAGAGCGTCATCCCAGGTAGGGATGGAAACAATTGACCCACCGTCAGACTCAGGATTGCCCCATGGCTATTTTTGATGTCTCCATTTCTGCCATCTATATCTATCTATCTATCGATCTATCTAATCTAATCCAAAGTCATTTAACCGAATCGAATCTAATCTAATGATATCTAATGTATTTATCTATCTACCCTCTGGTAATTTAACATAGCTATTGAAAATCACCATTTTTAATGGGAAAATCCACTATTTCTATGGTCATTTTCAATAGCTATGTTAAATTACCAGAGGGTATATCCGTTCCTGCTGGATCACATCTGCAACCATCAGCCAGTCAAGACTCACCACTAGCAGCTAAGCAACTAAGGATCCTCTCAACGCCAAGTCAGCGTGAAACGCGAAGCTGGTCCCATAGCGTGACCCCTGGCAACGGCAATGACTGAGGCTTCAAAGCTGAAGCAATGTGGTAAACCCAGAACAAACCATCCCAAATCTTATCAGATATGGGTGTTATAACACTTTATATATGACCATCAACAATTGGAGGTGTATTGCTGGATTTACCATATTAGGATCACAACTTGTTACTCTTCTAGTTACTTGATCAACTAGCCAAGTATCAAATGTGCTTCACTGATGTTGCGAGTGTGCTGTTTTCTTGGTGCTCGTACTACTCTCGCAAGAGGACGCGTGACTGGCCAGTCGGATCTTGAAACCCCGTGTTCTGTCATGTGTATGTGTGCTGTTAAATGCCAATTCCCAAGTAATTCCCGCCGGTTGCATACCTTTTTTGTCACTTGAACCGACATTGTTGGTTTTGTTTGGCTGGCAAAATGCCCATTGTTGCTGGTTGAGTTGGGTCAAGTTCCGATTTTTCTGGCGAACTTTGCTGCATCTACAGTGATACTGTAGCAATGTTTAAGAACCCACTGCATTACCCTCGGGTAATTTCACAGCTATTGACAGTATTGAAAATTGCCCATTTATAGTTGATTTATTTACCTCTTAAAGATGGTGATTTTCCATAGTTATGTCAGTTTACCAGAGGGTATATCCAATATTTCCAGGTGTATATCCATTAATATGGGTAAATTATAATATTTCACTAATCTGAATTAAGGCCATTTGGGGATGATTTCCCTTACTAACCATGATTCCCAGTGAGGTCGCAGTGAGGTCGTTATAATTTACCCAGATTAATATGGGCCCATTCATTTACCATAGGGTACCCCCTGGTAAACTAACATAGCTATTGAAAATCACCATTTTTAATGGGAAAATCCACTATTTCTATGGCCATTTTCAATAGCTATGTTAGTTTACCATAGGGTAAGGACTTTAGCTTCTTCTCCAAGGCTTCTGCTGGCGATCGCCTTGAAGAGAGTCTTCTGCGCGAAGCCCACATCCGGCGAGGGCTTCGTCAGGGGTTCCACCATCTCCTGTGACGAACAACGCTGAAAAATCCCCAGAAACCAACCATGATCACAACACATCATCCCAGTGATAGGGGTAGATAGATAGATATAGATATAGATATATATATATACCCAAAATCATAACTAAAAGAATGGTTTATAGTTTTTATGTGTGGGTTTTGTCTCATTGGTGTTTATATAATCATCTTCTTGGTCTTGATGAGGATGATGAGAAAGAAGAACCGAAAATAATATATAGATGGACTACCTAGACAAATCATATGTATATATATATATATGTATATATATCATATACTATGTGTATAACTATACATTGGATATATATATATATAATATATATATATATACTGTTCTTGATGATTACTGTAAACCCCCTCCCAACGGCGGCCGCGGCCGTGGCCCGCCTCGTCGCTCTCCGGATCCGCTTTGCGCCGGCGGCGCGTGTTGAGTTCCACCGTGCCGAAGGTCATCAGAAAGCACACCGCCATGGCTGAAACCTGGCCATCTCGGGGGGTTGGCCGAGGAGATGTCAGTGTCATCGAAACTATTCATAGACCTACTACAATTTAAACAAATAGATATATATATATATATAATATATATATATATATACTTATACTTATATTTATATAGCTATGTAGAATCTTTATATATCATATTAAATATATTGTAATAGTATATATAATACATTATGGGGACTTTTAATAGCCCTAAAAAAATGATTTGGGGTTTTAATTGTGATGACCTCGAGTCGACCCAAATTAGTTGACCAAAGTTGGCTTGTTCCCCCTGGTTGAATGTATTGGATCCTGCTGTATGATCGGATGGAAATAGATCTGACATCGCCAGTTATTACCAGTTTGACCCTTAGGATAGCGCAGTTTCAGGTTGGAGAAATGTCTTCCAACCCCGTTGGTAGGGTCTACGTTACTTCTGGGGATGGTGAATACATAAGGGTTGATTGACTTAAATTAGGACACAATGTGATGAAATGACTGGAGGAAAAGGAGCATATCCACTACTGGCCAGCAAGAACCGTTCTTCATCACTATGTGAACCACCATGTTGATCCAAATTATTGTTCATGATGTACAACAATGATGGTTCATCGTATTTTGCACCAACATTAACTAGTGTCAACTTCTGTGCAAGGCAGCTACCAGCAACTTTCCTGGATGGGTGCTCTCTGGAGATGATGTTCCTATATGTTCCCTATGGAACATGGGATTTCAAAAAATAAAAACTGGTTGCGTTGGATACCTGCTGGATGTTCATCCGTGGAAACATGGCCAAAGATGTGCGAATCACTTGCAGCCTGGCGGCGCATGTGACAAGTAGGATCCAAAAGTCACGTGAGGCTCCCAGAAACATGCCATTTCCTGACGGCGTGCCGGGTAGTAATGGCAGCCCAAATCAAAGATTTTTTTTGAGCAATGGGTCAATAATTATCATTATCTAGGTTCCGGAAACACCAGATTTGGGAAGAATCCAAGAATCCCATCTTTGAGGTATATCCATGTTATGTTGCCATGGGTTTTTCAGTAGTAGACCTTGCCAACGGGATGTGTTGGCTACGCCGTGCTAGACCCTTTTGGAACCAAGCCGTAGCCAGATTATCCATCTAGAGTTACCCCAAAACGCATCCAAAATGGTATTTGATCATCATCCTATATATCAAATGAATCTAAATGAGGGAAGCATATATCGATCAAGATATATAAAGTGAACAAAAACATATAGTTGAACCACCAGCCAGAAGATGTCATGCTGTTGGTGTTCCAAATTGAAAGCCCTACGCTGGGAGAAACCACATCGCCACAGCTTCGGTCAATAATGGCATTGGCTTCTGCTCGCGTGAGATCTCCCAGGTCATTGTGCAAGGACAAGCTTTGGTTCACAGCGCTCGGCATGGTCGCGCGCTGCCCGCGTATCCCTAAGTTCTGAGCCACCAAGGCTGCAAGTTGTCTGAGAAATGGTTGGTTTCGTTGGAGGATTGACATGAAATCGCTGATAATTTATCATAAAAAGAACATGTTCAGAAGTTTAATGTTCATGAACCGCAGGGGCCAGGCCAGCCGCAAGTAGGAATGGAAAATTGCATATCAATCAATGTCATATTTGAAACAGCCAAGCATTCAAGGTGAACTACCTTCGGCCGCAAAAAAATATGGCCTACAATTGTGCAATATGTTTGTCTGTTGAGTGATGTCATGCTTGAAGCAGCTACTTTGTGGTCCTGATGTGCAGAAGTTGGGTAATGTAGTTGCTATAGTAATCAGAGTTGGGAACCCGGAAATCATGCAGAAAAAAAAGCAGCAAAAAACATCCGGAAAAAAACTTCCCGATGCATCAAGAAAACCAGGACCTTTTTGCGAAAAAAGTCGTGTTCCAAACATGGCAATGCTCTCCAAATCCATCAGTCGTGCGCGTGCCTGCTCACCTGTGGTCTGAAAATGTCTGAAACAAATCACCATGGCAGCGGCTGTTGTTTCGGTACGATGATGGGTACTTTGCTGTTGAATTGTCTGTTCAAGACATATGTGCCAACTTACATAGTTACGTTGGCCATGGATGCAAGCTTGAAGTAAACAAAAAGGCGTGCTAAACTTACATTGGTTGTTGGTACGGTTATCTAGAAATAGTAGTTCCCAAATGTCTGGGTTTCACAACATTGCAGTTTCCGTCTGTATATCTGGTGACAGTTTTAGACAGAGTGCAACCAACAACGGATGAAAAACACAGGATACAAGCGGCAAAACATTGCAAGTATGACTCCACAAAGGACTGGATGACTTGGACTTGCACTTCCACAATGTGGATACCATTCCCATCTACAGTATGCTGGGACTTAACCAGCTATAAACGGCACCAGCCCTACGTGAAGCACCTTGGAAGCTCTTCTCGCAAACCCCCACCATGCATTCGTACACAAAGGAGTCTGGCTCCTGTGGGATCGCATCCCATCTTACTGGCCCCCTGGACATATATCTGGACATCCTGTTCCACTCCTGTGATTCTGTGTTTGCTGGTCAAAGCGTCAATTTCTGTGTGCCTCTCCGACCTATCCTTTTGAGCCTATGGGGGACAAATAGTCTGTCCATGTCTGTCCATTGCAAGGCTGTCACCAACATCTATGCCCTTCTCTCTCCATTCTTCCATCTATGCCCATCCAGCTCGGCCTTAGTTCTAAGGAACTAATGATCTGAACCCATATCCCATAGGATCCATGTATGGTATATATGCTAACATTGGGGGTATATTGATGGGATCCATGTTACCATATATAGCAGCACCATGGATCCTATGGGTATGGAAACTAGAACTAAGCAATTCACTCTACCTCTATGTCCAGCGTATGGCCCAGCACCCCATGGCCCCATAGCATGGCGGTCGCTCCAAGGCGTCCCGTTGCATCTGCCCGAAGATCTCCACAGCACTCTGCAGCCGTCGGCCGCGGACCGAGGCCTCGAGCGCCGCGTCGTAGCTGGCGAGGCTCAAGGGCTGGCCTCCGCGCAGCGCGGAGAACCTCGGGGCGGATGGGGGCCATGGAGCCATGGCGATAAGGCGTGAGTAAAAGGTGGTGCCTTGGTGATGCTAAGTGGGTTTATAACTCCAAGAACTATAAGTTGTTGATGGTTTTTGGCAAATATATATGGGGGCCTGAAATGGGGGTACCCCAAAATTAGAATGGAACATCCTATTAAAATGAATGACTTAGGGGTACCCCTATTCCTATTTTAGGAAACCTCCATACCTAGGCCTGGCGGGTAAAATTTCTTCGGCCAGCCCAGGCTAAAGAAATTATTGTCGCTTCAGTCGCTTCAGAAATTTCTGCCGTCCTCAGCCAAAAACTTCCATTTCAACTGTTTGGCGGGATTCTTGCAGAGTCAGCTGCTATTCGTGCATTTTTCGCACTTGTCTGATAATCACACACCCTGGAGAACATTGGCAGATATGTAGCATGTCAAAGTCCAAATATGCATTGAAAACAACCCAAAAAAATTACGCCGTTTGGTTGGAAATTTACGCCGTTGAGTTGGGAATTTATGCCGTTTCAGTTTCTCACTTTTTCGGGGAAGGTTTTCAAGGTGGACACATGAGTTATGCGTTCTTCACACAGCTGTGGAATTGACAGAATCCCATTCCACTCAAAACATCACACTTTGCTGGAACATGCTGGAACCATCCAAAATCCAAAAACTTCCGTATCATCAAAAAAGCTCCGTTTGAGGGTTGGCCCCTCCAAAAGTTATTTTTTCACCAAACATAAATAATAATTGCTGCCTCGGGTGTTCTGGGTGTAGTTCATTGGGGGGTATAAACTAATTTATAAATGGGGCACCCACCTTCTAATCCCTTATAACTGGGTGTATATACTGTGTCATGAGTTTGAGTTTTCAGTAGCCACGTACTGTAACTAGTTGAGGTTGAGCCTTTGTTTGTTAGCTGAGATTGTTTGAATAAGTAGGTTAACTGCTCGGTTTATTGTAGTCGTAGATGACCTATAAACCAACTTATAACTAGAAGCACCACTTTGTGGGGTTTACCTTCCATTAATCTAACGTGGCAAGGGGAAATCACCCATACAAACATATCATATCCATGTGTTAGTCCTGTACATATTATATACATACCTATGCCTTCCTGGTGCTCCTTTTTTTGGTTTTTGCCTGAAACAGCACTTATTTTGGTCGTTGCTGTAAAAAAACGTTGCTGCCTCCCAAAAACGTTCTTGCTCCAAATGATCAAGAATAGCCAGGATGAAAGGAAACCAACAAACCTGTTGCAGGTGACAGTGATGCCACAGCTGATCAATTGGAAACAAAGTGGATTGACATGGTTTGGATGGGTTGTGAGCCCTCGATTTGCAACCTTTCGTACCATTTCACTGTGATTCGGACATTTCAAAAACAACCAAAACTATCCGAAACTGGGGTACGGGTAAAAACGCTTTTGTATCGGGAAGAAACGCTTTTGTCTCGGGAAGAAACGCCTTTGTATTGGTTCAAAGCGCCGTCACCAAAATTGTTTTGCCACGGAGGCCCATCAACAAACGTTAGTTTCAGCACAGAGCTGCTGTGGCTCAATGTTTGCTTTAAAAAAAGTCTGGTGGAGACATCATTTATTTCCACCCGAAAATCGTGAGGGATTTGGATGTCCTTGCACGATGGGACAGTGCTCAAAACGAACAATGGATGTGGATGACAAAAATATTCAAAAATGACAAAAAAGGTCCGAGAGCAGAATTGAAGATAAGTGGTGCAGAAAAGCATTTCTGACAGGAAAAGCAGAAATTAGTAACATGTGAGAAGCCCTAGGTATATATATATATATATACACATGTTTTTTAAACGAGTTGCGCGGTTCAGGATGGTAGTTTCCTTCACAGATTTGGACATCACCAACTGAGATGGGATACATACGCATTACTATCCACATCTCGCATCCTTTTTTTTTAAAGCATAGGGCTTACGAAAGGAACATAGCTGCCGGGGCCAAGGAATTTGTGGATATAGCCAGCAAAGGTTGGGATCTTGAAATTAACTGCCAGAACAATTGAACGATACCCTCTGGAATCCCCAAATGGTGCACATTTTGGTGCAACAATGGTCGTAGGCAGTGAGAAAAACATCCTGCAAAGATGAGGGGATAACCTTTGATCTCCTTCGGACTGGGGAGACATCTCACAGTACAATATGAAAGTATACATACGCACAGTACCGTACAGATCTTATCAGATCTTATTTGCTATTGAACCCCTGTTTTCTGCACATAGCCAACCAGAATCAACCAGATGAATGCCTCCACTTGTTCCAAGGTGCAGGGACAAAGCACGTTGCCACTGGAAAGCTTTGGCACAAGCACTGCATGCTGCAGAGTATGCCACCAGCGATAGCCCTAAATCTTGAGACCTCATGGCCTGCGCGCAGCTGAAAGCGCCTTGGAGCACCTTCGAGGAGCTGGTTATATGACCCGGCTTGGTAAGTCCCCATGGTTTGGCTCGCATATAATACACACTCCGGTAATCAAACGTGGTAATTGAAACTCTCGATTTATGGCGGATTTTTCCTTTTAAACCTCCATTGATAGGTGATTTCCCATTGCAACATATTGCAACATTTGATTACCAGAGGTCTAGGATTGCAGCCCATGGTTACATATGGTTACTGACCAGTTACTAAGCATGACTGGACCTCCATGTCTGGAACTAGCAAACGATGATGACAAAGGTAGGCTCCTGGAGTAGTTGCAGCGCATGCTTCCACTCTGCTTCCTCCTGCGGTCACCATGCAAAGTCATGCCTTGAAGGACCCGGCTCCCAGATTTGGGTCCTTCTTTATCTCCTCTTGTCATTCTCCACATTATGACATTCTGCCAGTGTTTTTGTAATTCACATCTGTTATTGACATGTTTGCTTGACCGTGCAACTGCCAGTTGACAGTCTATGAATACACCTTAACTTAAATCACAGCATGGCGCTGAAGAACAATATGGAATTGTCTGAAAATTGCATAATTCATCATAATTCATCATAATTCCACTTGTTAATCCCAAACAAATGCCACTTTGGGGAATGTACCATCTGGTTATTTAACATAGCCATGGAAAATTACAATTTTTAATAGGTAAACCATCTATAAATGGGTCATTTCCCATGGCTATGTTAAATAACAAGAGGGTAACCCCTTTGGATCTTAGCCCATCCCCCGGTCACCATGGTCACCATGGTAGCCCGTCCTGGCAGGCGCTGATGCACGCACTGTAGCTGATCACGTCAGCGGAACTTTCCTCCTCCGTTTGCAGCTGATTCAACCTGATCCCATGGGCGAAACGATGGAAACATCGATTTCCCATAAACTTTGACTTTGGGAAAACATAGCTATAAGTTTCTGGCGATTTACTGTTCTAACTTTTGGGGGACCTAGCCATGTTCTCAATACGCTGGCACGTACGCATAAGTATAAGAAGAAAGTCTAGCCATGTTTAGAAATGTTTAGTCTGTCAACGCCAAAGGACAGCACCAAAGCCACTTGCCATTGACCACGCTTTTCACCTCAGCCGCCATTGAAACGTCACAGCCTTGGCCCTGGAGCACCACCTACAGTGAGTGGCCAAATTGAAAGGTGGTGCTCGTCCAAATCTTTCCTAAGCATCAGTTCCAGTATCTTAGACAATATTATCAAATCATGTTACCCTCTGGTAAACTAACATAACTGTGGAAAATCACAATTTTTAGTGGTTAAATCCACTATTTCGATGGCCATTTTCAATAGCTATGGTATCGTTTTCCAGATCTCCCGAAACCCAGTGCCACATCCAGCCTGGCCAAGCAACAGGCGCTGATCGCTGCATTGTAAACGACATGGTTCGCTTTCAACGACATCGCTCTCGCCAGGGACAACAGCAACAGCGCCCGTTGCCATTCACCGCCTAAAGAGGGGCGAAGGAAGTCATCCTGAAAAGCATGGGGATTTTCCAACATGTTTCCATTTAAGTACGGATCTCTTGACATTAACTCCAGGATGACTCTATAAATTATATATAAATATATAATATTATATGATATTATATGATATTATGTTATATTATATTATGTTATATTTTATATTATATTAAATTATATATTATATATTATATTATATTATATTATATATTATATTATATTATATTACATTATATTATATTATATATTATATTATATTATATTACATTATATTATAGCATATTATATTATATTATGCTATATTATATTATATTATATTATAGTATATTATATTATATTATATCTATATCTATCTGTAGGCACATGATGTGCATTTCCAATTGCTAACTAAGCATAGACCACAACAGCAAATGGAAAAGGATGGAAAGGGACATTTCAATGACATTCCTCTTGAATACATAGCGTGGACCGTGGAACCTTCTCTTTTCTTGCTTTGTTTGTAGTTGATGGCTGACCTTTTTCTAATTTGAACATAGAGTATACACATGCACATAACATTACATAACCCCAAGTCCAAAGTATTGCCATCCCTTCCCTTTTTCAAAGTGCCCAAATTTGAGGCTTGATCCCGGTTGCCTTTCGCGCAGGCGCTGATCGCCGCACCAAAGGTGATGATATTCGATGAATTCCCAAGATCTTGGAAGAAGGCAAGGCACAGTTCCCACCTCCGGCGTTGGGCGCTTTACTTGACCATGGAATCCATGGATTTCGGTTGAGGTTTCAGGAACAACCATGGAGTACATGCATCATGACACGACGTATGTTTCTGCAATCAAAAAAATGTTCGGTGGATGTTACCGTTATCTCGAAACTTGCTTGTGAATTCAACAACTAACGGCTCCCCTGAAACCGATCTCCGAAGAAGTTACTGGCCAGCAATAGCGGTGCGTCGAAGATATGGGAACTATAAATTCACACACAAATGTAGACCGGCAAAGCATGGGTGTGGACATGGTGATATGGTTCAAACTTGGGTTCTCCCAAATTGGATGTTTTCCAGTGTGTTTTACCACAGGTACTGACCAACATCCGTGAACCCCCCAGAAAACAGGTGACACTCAGGACTTGGTCAAGATGCTGGGCCGCTCTCTCACAAGCACTCATCATCGCACCGTAGCTAATGATGTCTGGAGATAGCCTGAATTGGACGAGCATTGGGAACATATGGGAATATAATATATATTTGATATATGGAAAATATAAATATATGATATATATATAAAAATACATATATATATATAATGTGTGTATGATATATATATATATATTACATTTGATACATATGATCTCAACAGCGTCGAACAGCTATCAGTTGTCTCAAAGTTATCTGTCTCACAAATGTGAAGAAACGTTCATGACCCAATCTCCTATGGGGCCGGCGACTGAATCATTCCAGCCATGTTCCGACCAGCACTTGCAGCTAAGGGTGCCATGGAGCTCTCAAATCATCAACTCAACAGTGGGCTCTGCATCGAATGACACGCGAACATTGAATATGTTTTATTTTGAAGTTTCTCAAAGTGGGGGGAATTACCCCCAAAACATCCATTTTAATAGGATTTTCATAAACCCTCCAGTACCCCCATTTCAGGAAACCATCTGTGCACTCCAAGGAACTCTTGCGATGGCATCTGCGAGAAGATTTCAAGGGATCGCCTGAGTCCACCAACACGGGTCTCCCGGCAATGGAAGCACATTGCCAAACAAATTAGCCAACAAGAGATTCCAACAGAATGGAACAAAACAAAAGTATATTTGCAAACATAATTTAACTGCTGAATAAGTCCAAGTATTGTAACTCAGACTAGGTGACTAGGCCACCAAAAGATTGATTTTACAGAAAACATCATGGTCAATCGTTGATAGTCCACACCAAACAACTAATTTCTTGCTGGTTCTGGCTATTTTCCATTGGATTAAACTACTATTGAACTGATTACACTATCCATTCAAGGTTGGGGATGACACCAGGAGCCCCAGCCCTTGTTGCAACGAGCGTCTGCCAGCGCCCGCTGTTGCCACATGCGCTGAGGGCAGCGTTGCACACGGCCAGGCGCGGCTGCGTTGAAGACGCGGAGAGCAGCAGCACCGCAGCTTCCCAGGAGCCACCTGGTGGTTTAATGGGATTTAATGAGATTTAATGGGATTTTATGGTGGTTCATTTAATTGGATTTAATGAGATTTAATGTGTTTTTTGTTTAAATGGTGGCTTAATGGGATCTATATAGTGGGATTTACCCTCTGGTGAACTAACATAGCTGTGGATAATCACCATGTTTATAGCTAAACAATGGTAGATAACTATTTTTAATCTGTAAGTCATCTATGACAGATAGTATTGTTTTTTTCTGATAGCTACGTTAAGTTGCCGGAGGGCATGCGGCTGGATGTAACTTGTCTTGTCAGTTTTCAACTATATCATAATATATCTATTTTACATCTTCTCCCTAGCTTAATAACTTAGCATTTAGACTATTGATCTAGGGGAACCATTCATTGAGGGAGCTTTTGATAGGGGGATGAGATCATCATCAAGGGCTAGCATCAAGAGTGACTTCGCCTTTCTGTTTACAACAGAAAATCTGTAGAACTGTCTGTGTCTAGCTTCACACGTGGCGCATGATTCTCCTGCAACATGTGAAGCCCAGCCCCGGTCCGCCCCGGTCCACGCAAGGCATGGATTGGGTCGGTGCCTGCATCACAGGCTGAAATGGCCGCCGTGAAAGATGCCGCTGTGCTTTCCAGCCGCCGCTCCTGGCGAGCTCCAGCGAGATGGACAAGCCAGGTGTGGTAGTTAGCTACTTGGTGGCTCATCCGACTTAGTAAGTGGGTTATAACCCCAGTTATAAATGGGATAAGTAAGGTTAATCCACTTATAACTGGGGTTATAACCCACTTACTAAGTGGGATGAGCCACCAAGTAGTAGGCTACCTCGACCACGATTTTCCAGCCTTGTAGAACCAGCCTCATGAGCCTCATGGGACAGTTTTTTAAGTTTAATAAGTTTAGAAGATTCAACCTCTTGGGTGATAAAGCCGAGGGGGGAAAGCGCCTGATTCACCGCAGGTGGTGTATCTCCAAGATTTCCAGTGCTTCAGCCACATCATGCTTTTTTGCCATTTGGCCTATGCAAATGGCTGAGTAACCCAGAGATCCCACAAGCCAAGGGCCACCAAGGGCCACCTGTGCAATTTGGAAAAGCTCAAGGGCCACCAACCACTGAGCACTTTGGCCGCAAGAGCCTGGCTATTTCACTGGGGGCAGATGGATTTTGCAAAAACGGCATCCATGTGGGGTAATGGTATGGTATATGTAGTCGTCGCCATGTCGTTGCCTTTTGTGGGGTGTAGACGGTCTAGCTATATTTTATTGTACCCTAAATTAGTGCAGCATGGCCATAGACAGCCAAGGAGCTGATGGCGGTGTTGTAGCTGATAATTGTCGCCTAAGCTGCACAGCCACAAAAGAAGTCATGGCGCTGCCTTTAACATCAGGGGCTTCCTGTACAGCATCCCCCTGCATGTTGTGATCCAAATGGCAAGCGTGTATCATTTCGGAGTGTTGCTATTCCCTATCTCCTGTTGACTTCAGGCGGAAATCATGCAATGCCTTGGGCGCCCGTCCTTTCTAAGCCATAGCTATCCAAATGACAGCACCTGATACTGTACCAGCAGAATGTTCCAAACCTACCCCAAGTTTCGTTTCAACATGGTTCAACAGCCCTTCACACCCCTTCTGCCTAGCCCTGGTTATCACAATCCATCGAGGCAGGACCAAGACCAGGTGGCGTCAAGCTCTCTTCGGTCAATGTCAAACAACAAACCTGGGATGATGACGCTGGGAGTGCCCAAAATCACTAGGGGCGCCCAAAATCCTGTACTGCTCAGTAGGTCTCTATCCTGCACTGCCAGCACAAATCACTAACTTTTACTAAAGGGCGCCAAACTTGGTAACTCAGTAGGTAAAAAATCGAAACTAGGGGCGGATGACCATACCAAAAGTTAAATATATAATTAAACTCATGTTTGTGTGTGTGTGAAATCCTTGAAGTTCTTGTTTAAACCCATGAAGCAGTGGTACCTGTCCGAAAAATGGCCAGTGGGAGCAGCAAACCTTAACTTAACTTGTTTGTTTTCTGTGGGCCATCAATCCAAAGTTTGAAAAACCTCAGGTTCTTTTCTATCCCCTCCGGCAATCAAACATGGCGGGCTGGAACATCCCACAATTTACGCCAGCGCTTGTCCCATTTTTTAGCCTCCAGCGCAGGGATTTCCCAGCTATCCCCGTCCCGTCATCCCGTCCCGGCACGGGACACAGGGCCATCTGCCACTGCTGGCTTCTCTCGCACGCACTGGACACCGAATTGCAGGAGATGACCTCCATGGAGTGAAGGGTGTACTGGGAGTCAATTGGGAATTCGAGCTGCTAGCTGAGAGGGTGTACTGCTTCAGTTTGATCACAAATTAGTCAAAGAATATGCCCATGATAGCCTATGATGATAATTTAAGCAGAAGATCTGAATTCCCATAAGCGCGTGTGTGTGTGTGTGCAATAATTGGGACAGACTATTCTCAAAGATAGATAGTCCATGATAGCACCACTAGCAAAGATTGGCCACCACAACTCTGCAACCAAGAGGCGTCGGGGACGACGCGGAAGTCTTCCATGCTAATGAAAAGTTGCAGCGCCTGCCACACAAACATTCACATTGTCTATGCGATTCCATACGTCACGCAAAAATGGATGACACACAAAAATTAAATCGTTAACAAATGGCACAACAATTAAATCGTTAACACATGTCTAGTATGCTCTCTCTCCATCCAATTCTTTACGGCCAGACTTATATTGATTGCATATCCCATCCATTTCTGGCTATATATACATGTCATATCTCCTGTAATTTGGTTCATACTGCGTCCGCCTGCATTGAAGTTGGCAAAGTTCACAGTGAACACCTGATGATCCTGTACAGTTTCTTACCCCAAACCACGGGATCTATCATGATCTATCTATCTATCTATCCGCTATCCATCCATCCATTCATCTATTTAGAATATCTATTCATGTTATCGTTCTTTCAGTTTTTTTCCCTCTCTATCTTTGGATAATTTTCCGTTGGTTTTATGAGGACTTCAGGCTAAGATCCGCCAAGCCCTTCCTGCATCCACTGTGAGCCCTTGGCACAGGCACTGATGCCAGCGTTAAAGATGATTTCGTCCTTGGGACAATCGGACAAAGGGCCATGGCAGGCTGGTGCTCCAATTTATGATGTTTGTGGTAGATATACCCTCTGGAATGAAACATAGCAATGAAGAATCCCCTTCGGAGGTTTGTAGCTGGAAACGTAATCTCTCCGAATGGGGATTTTCCATTGCTAAGTTTGATTGCCAAAGGGTATCTAGATATCATATCCATAGTTGGATGGGCTTATGAACCAACTTAGAACTGGGGGGGGCATTCAGCAAACATTCCCATCAAAATCAATGCTACAGTATAGTCTGAAGATTATGAAAACAACGTCTGGACTACAGGCACATACGGACCCACCAGCGACATGTGTTCGAAGATGTTTTGCCACTTCTGGTTGCAATGTTTTTGTTGGAGGGGTGTACTTAAAACATCTTAAAGCACCACAAGATGCCTCTGCAAACAACGGAACGGTGGAACGTTGTAGAAACACAGGGCGGGCAGTAAGAGAATACGAACCACCAAACATCCTGGCCAAAAGTAACACATCCTTTTAGCACTGACTGACTAACTTTGCCCAATAAAACGGCCTGAGGTGAGTTCATTTCTGTATCCCAGCCAATAGAATTGAATTATAATATATATATATATATATGTACCCTGGGGGTCCCGCGCTATTCTTTGTCTAGTCTTTTGCAAACACCATTTTTTGGCGTGACGATCTAAACTTTGGCAATTGTCAGGTGGGGTCAGGTGGCCATTGAGATGCTCCAATGGTTTTATGTAGAAAGTTGTTGCAAATAGGGCAAATGCGTTCAATTCTTGAGGATTATAGTTTGGTCCAGTGATGTATGTGAGAAGGTCTACCCTACCACTTGAGTGTGTGATGGCCGTGACACAGCGTGACGCGCCGTGACACACCAAGATCCGGGAAAGACTATATTAAGTTTGACCTTTTCCTAAAAGGAAATATATCTAAAGTATGGATGTTGGAATCCTTGTGTATAATATATATATATATATCCCTCCCTACTAATATATATATACTGACCGTACTAGCTATATAACCTTATTAAAGTGTCATTCGCTAGTAACTTCGTAAACACCCACCATTTCTGTGCTGGCCCAAGCTTCCGCTTGCATCGCCAGGACCACTTGCGAAAGTAAGTGGATGGCATGCTGCCAGGCATTCCCTGACGTGCAGATGTTACCGGAGGGTAGATAGCTTGGATTTGGAAGAACATGACAGCTTGAAACTTACCATCTGGTTATTTAACATAGCCATGGAAAATCACATGTTTTTATAGGTAAACCATCTATAAATGGGCCATTTTCCATGGCTATGTTCAATAACCAGAGGGTACTAATAAACATTCTTACATATTCTTACTATGGTTGAATAAAACATCAGCAACAATTTGGTTGGTGGTTTCAACTCCCGTGAAAAAATGTTCGTCAAGTAGGATCATCATCCTATTTGTACGATTGAATTCCAAAAATATTTCAGACCAGCAGCCAGGGATGGACGATGACGATGGTCGGTATTCATATCTTGTTGTAACCCCATGTGGCCCTTTATGTAGAAGGTATCTTAGCTACCCGGTAATTACTAAACGACACGACCGGTAAGCTGAAAGAGGGCAAGATGCACCGTTGAAGAAAACGTGACAACATCAACAAAAATACAGTGTGTAAAACAAACATACTTTCAGAGTTAGCCGATTCGCAGAGTTAGCCCCGGACAAAAAAAACAAGTTCACTTGCTACAGGACATGATTCTATTACTGGATATGATTTTCTGGTCTCCACGAGGTGCCCTGATTGGATCCCACCTTTCTCGCAGGCGCTGATCGCAGCGCTGAAAATGATGAGGTTCGCCTCCAGGGAGTCCCGGGAGCAGTCCGCCAAGAGTTGCAAGGCCTGGGGCTTTGGATCTTACTTCACACCTGTAGAAATCTCTAGCACCTATCTTGGACCTAGCTAAGATGTGTGCATGTGTGTGTGTGTATGCGAATGCAGGTATATGCATGTATGATCATGATTGATTACGTAAATGTGCAACTGCACCACAACACACACACATGTGTGTGTAACATCTGAATAGATGTAAAACTTCTGCGATTTTTCTTTTCTCATATAGCGGGGGGACCATCCATGTGCTGTGAGCGATGGTCCAACGAAGCGGCCACAGTACATGCAGATATCACGGCTGATCACCGTGACGTACCTGCTATTTGTTTTGCTGCTGTGGCAAGGGGCTAAGCCAAGAACCCCAACATCGCAATTTACATCGAAAATGATCATTTGCACGGATGTCGCAATCTTCTTTTACAGTATTATTTACAATTTGATACCGGACCTGTAGATGCTTGCTTCCAACTTGGTTTATATTTATTTGATTCTGAACCTGCCGATGCCCGATTCCAACCTGGTTAATTATTCTTCATAGCGTGGTCCCGTTTATGTTCACGATCTCAATTATTTTGGAACTTCATCTTAAAAGTTGTATACAGCTACATGGAGGTCTACCTTATATCAATCATCTTGTTTGGTTGCACGTTTACGGGAATTAGTTCCCATCGGATCACTTCAATGATCAAGTTCTTTTCTAGTGCGTGCACGAAGCAATGGCTCATGTATCTATATGCACTGTTCTATGGATCGATGAAGGTGAGGCTAATTGAAGGGGTCCCCACTGAGAACTGGCCAGGTGATCATATAGTAACTGACCATTTTGTACCAGGAAGATCCAGGAAGCATCGCGCAGTCGCACATGACAGGACATGCGAAATTCAAAGGTTGCTGGCTTTGAGCTGAGATTCACCATGTTCTGCTCCCAATGACAAAGAAAAAAACACACATATACAGTATATCTATATCTATATATATATATTGATTTAATGTGTGCCTCATATTACATATACAATAAATGTATATATATATATATATATACATATTATTATTATTCTCATTATTATTACTATTTGTTATTATTAGTATTACTATGATTATTATTTTATTATCATTATATTATTATCATAAAAATATTATTCTCATTATTATTATTACTATTATCATTATTATAATTATAATAATTATTATTTATATATGTATATAGCAAAACCAAATCAGAGTAGATGTAGCATTCATGTTTTTCATGGTGGGGACTGGGCCCCAGAATCGCCCAAATCCACGGTTCTGCTGTTCTGTCTTTACCGAAATCCATCCCCCGGTGGTACCTGCGGCCATCGGCCCCCACATGTGCGGATGGCCCCGCAGCGGGCGCGCAGATCTGGAAGACCCGAGGAGCCATACTGAGCAGCCAGCAGTTGCCTCGTGGACCAGTCGGGATCCAGGGGAATTGGGATGAAATCTTCGGGTTTGGGGGCATTAATGTGAAAGATTTTGTAAGCAACAAACGTGACAAAAACGGAAGATTCATCATTTTTTTTCATTTTACAAAATCATGCCAATTGCGGTTCAACCGAAACTTGTCGGACAGAACATGAGCGAACTGGTCAGATCGTTGTTGGCATACCAGTCCCAGTTCGTGCAGCTGTTCATTAGAATGCCAAGGATATAATGCATGTCATCATGCAATTTCAACCAGCCGTACGAAGATGACGGCGGCAGACTCACAATTCATGCCGCCGCCATGAGTCAAGTCAAAAGGTTTTGCGGCTGATAAGGGGCCTTTGGAATTGGATTCTAGGGTCCTTGGTAATTTAGTTGCACCCCTGATTGTAAGATATGTTTTCCAACATTTATTTCTTTACCTATCATATCTATCAAGTAGGTGGTCTTGGTATATACTAGTGAAGTTATCTCAAAGGAAAATGTGTATTGGGTTAGTGTCCCTTGGATGTTTCAATGTTTTTAGCCCTTATCCGCCATTTAGTGCTATCCGAACGGGATTGATAATTTGCCCCTTTATCCATTTACCCTTTTACTCGTGGAAGTACCAATCATGATCGCCAATTCGATCGTAGTTCACATATGTTTTTTTGGTTGAGTACTTAGATAAAGTTTCGGTATATCATACCCTGAAGTAATTGTAAAGGCATGGAGTATTATTTCCAATGGGACCTTTGATTCAATCCAAGATGGTTCTATTTTAGGCATCAGAACACAGTTAAATAAACATGGTTCTATTTTAGGCATAAATTTACCTTTTTGTAACCTAACATGACAGTTAAACATCTGCCATGTAAATTGAAACTATAATGGTAAAATTAACTGAGACGTGGTGCGTTTTCTAGTGCCGTGGTTAATGACCAGAGGAATCCCATTCACTATCAAGCAATAGTAAACTAATTCTCACCCTTTTACATGGCCATCCTTTACCCACACCCCATCGGGGTGGCAGTGCCGGGGGCTGGAACGGGTGGGACCGGTGGCCGGTGGTGCACTTCACCTTCTTCGCTATTGAACTTTTTGGAGGACTGGAGTGGGTGGTATGGCCTGCTTGGTGGGAAACCCACATTGATAAGGCATCATTGGAACCCCAAACTGGGCTGCATCCCTTAGGTCTATGAGATTGCCATCCCTTCCCTCCAATTGCAGGACGGCAGGGCAAAGAAAGAGGGAAGTAAGGCGCCATTTTCGGGTTTGGCTGATCTGGATGTGTGGCTCCCTTGGGGTGATTTCTACATGTTGGATAGGGACGCCCCAAGATAGAGGTTGATATACATATATATATATATATGCTAATAGATATTGATATGGGCGTAGCTATATATATATATATATGAACATAAATGTGTAAAAAGTGCAACCAATTCTAATTTGACATGTTTCCATCCTTTTTGGGGATGGCTACAATTAGTGTCGGGGTTGGAATGTTTAGATATTCTTCGACAGTGATATGGCAAGATTTCGAAAGGGATGCATGTCCTATTCCGATCTCAAGGCTGCAACTCTTTGATTTCTTGCTGCCATGGCAGAGCTACCCCCGGATGATGAGGAGGGTCCTAGCATGCCAAAGGCTTCGCAGTCACTGCCGATGACACATTTGGTGACCCCGCAGCGCAGGGCAGTCCTTCCTCCCAAGTTGTGACTTGACATTTTCCCAAATCGTCGTTTGCTTCTAAACTCCTATAACATTATGGTGGGAGATTGGGTTACAAATATTTGATTTTTTTGGGGTGAATACGGGGGATACAGACTTTAGGAAACAAATGACTTGGCAAAGTGAACTGAGGGATGGAAACTCAGCTCCAAAGGGTGACCCGGCACAAGCCTTCGAATGCTGTACATCTCATTGTGTCCAAACCTTTCTGACTAGCAAAGCTCGATCGGAATATTTGGATGATCCTTGGCATCTTTTATCTAGATATGTGTTTTTCCAAAGCTCAGATAACCCTTGAAGGATTTTATCTATTGGCTTACCCCTTACGTTCTGGTAATTCTGACAAATCTCAGGAAACATTGGAAAAATTCTCCAAGATGACTGACAATGAGGTGAACGCTTTTCTCATCGGATTGCTGGGGAGATGTGACAAGGTCTGGTGTTAGTGTCTAACAACAACTAGTTGGTATAGGTACCCATGGTTGGTCCCCCAAATCCCTTTGTATTCCAACGATTCCAGCTACATTGATTATGTTCAAATTGGTTATTATATATATTGATTATGTTGTATGGTGATGAAAAAACCCTTTCAGGTAGGTGGACGTACGAAGTATGCCTTATGTGGCTTTGGTGTTTGCCGTGATGGATTCGCTGCACTCATGCGCATCAACAAGAAAAGGGCACCTGGCATTGAATTTCTATGTTTAAATTAACTTGGTGAAGCTTTATCCATTCCATCATGTGAATGGTGTTATGAAATCTGCCTTTCCCCAGGTACAACGCCTGCTTTCATCGGGTGGTGTTGAAGTGAACCAGGTCCCAGTCGACAGGAGGAAATTCAATGGTCCCAAGCAATGCCCGAAGACCATATCGGCTGATGCATTTTTCAACCATTACTACCACAACGTGGCCTCTCGACAGGACATGATTTTGTATATATATATATATATACACATACAGATCAACACATATATATATATATATGTAGTAGTATAGATATATAAATATAGATTAAGATAAAAATATACATTACTAACTGTATATCTATATATAATAATGTATGTATAAATAAATATACATGAAATATAAAAAGAATATAAATGCTAAATAACAAATAAATAAATATCTTTATTTTTACAAAGATTATATTATATCCTATTACATTACAAAATCAAGACTACATTCATCTATATATACATATTTGTGCATGTTTACTTTCCACCTCCTAGAGCCTTAGTGTGATAAGGCCATTTGATTGGAGTGGAATGGTTACCAACAAATTTGAGGCTGAGCCTCTTGCAGAGACACCAGCGGTTGAAGATGACCCATATGTGTCGCGCTTGCATTGTACCGGTGACTTCCTTCCAGGCTATTGGTTTTTAAAACAAATCCACCAAAAGCGGATTACTTTGAAACAGTTTGCTGTATCACGATCATGATAGACATAGTGCGACATTTGCCTCATTCCTGTCTCCCTGTGAGGCCCTGTGACCGATGATGCGCCTCCAAGTCTCTTTGGGCTGGAGCCGAAGCTTTCAGACAAGACGTGTGCCAAGGCCAACGCTGTGACCGGTTCCGGCCATGCGGGCTTGATGGGTGGAAAGGGCACCTGGGTCTTCCATTCGAACATTTAAAATGTTCATTTTTCAGATTGTCTGTTTCTTTTCCAATATGTTAATCCCTAATGGACCATAGGATGATGATCAATTTCTGTGGTGGTGCTAAGGTGCTTTGCAATGCAGGCATGTGCACCACATGACCATGGAGGCATGGTACCACATCTACTGTGGCTGGTGTGATTCGAACAAGGTCCCACCTGAAGAGCGTGCTAGCAACCGGACTTTCCGGACCGTGTATGATCAGACCTGGAAGGTGACAATGCCAATGCGGGAGATTTCGCAGCATGCGAGGTTTGGTTGGGAACAAAAGTTGTGGTTGCCATTTTAACATCTATTTATTTGTCTAGTTGGGGACTACCAAAATCAAAAATAAACCCTCAAACAATGAATACTGACTGGCAACTTGGTTTCACCTAGATTTTATTTATGGAATGCCAATGAATTGTGACTGACAGGTGCTCCCAGTGCGCTCACTTCACTGCTCGAATTGGGCATGTCCACACGGCTGACGAAAAGGCTGCTTTGGAGCACTGTCAGAATATCCATTTGTCCAATGTTCGAGCCTATCGGACCCTACAGGCCAGGCTGGCCACATTGTCCGAGCAGTCGACGGTGGTGGACGCTACGGAGACTTGCCTGATGATTTCTGTGGACGGCTTGGATCAAGCGAAGACCCGGTGGCCTAGAAATCTTTCTTCCTCCAAGAGCTTGGACAAGCTGTGGCGGCCACAGGTCCACTTGATTGGCTACATCTGCCACGGCGTTACTTGTTTGATTGAATATTCAGGTCAACGCTCCTTGTTTGTGATTTTTAGGGATGTTCAGTGGGTATTGGGATCCAACCCCTAAGTATTTATCCTGAAATCAAACTTCTTTTGTGTTGAGGTTTGTGAAGGATTCTTCGTGGTTCCTGCTGATGTTCCCAATGACTCGAGTTGTGAGATCACTGTGATTGAGACCATTTTGGATTGGGCCCATGATATCCTTCGATCTCGCAAGTGCTCCATGCCCACAAACTTGGTCTTGGAGGCTTGGTTCTGGCCCAACATTGGACTTGTGGGGTGGTGGGGGTCAGAAAAAATCATGCTTTTTTATTCTCTCTTGCAGCTCGTGGAGTCTCTCGATTCCAGGTCTTTGGAGGTCGGGCTAGATTGTTTCATTCAACAGCCTCTAGCTTCCCATTCCTCACTTCTGTGTTTTTGAAACCTGTCCGTGATACCCTGCAGACCGACAATTGCGCGCGAGAAGGGAAAAATTCCATCGTAGCAAAGTGGTCATGCCAAGCAGTGGCGAAGGGAAAGCGCCTGAGATATGCTGTAGCAATGATTTACTTCTAGGTTTGGTTTGGAATGGCTCTAATACTAAGATTAAGTTTGTTCCCCACCTGCCAGGTGAGGGTTGTTAGATTTTATCACAGCTGTTCCGGCTCTTTCTCCTTCACCTCCTCCTCGTCCTCCTCCTTCTCCTCCACCACCTCTGACGTCCACTTCCGCCCTGCCAACTCTTCGCCAATCTCTTCGCCAACTTCCGCGCGCAGTGGGCACTGCTGGACCTCAACTGCCGGCTTCCAATCTGAGTGGGCACGGCTGGACCTCAACCGCAAGGTTCTGAGCGCAGTGGGCACCGCTGGACCTCAGCCAGGGACCTTCCGCGCCCAGTGGGCACCGCTGGACCTCAACCTGGGACCTTCCGAGCTCAGTGGGCACCGCTGGACCTCAGTGGCCAGATGGAATGCCAGAATCTATGCCAGAAATACTGCCAGAATATA